TGGAAGGTGAAGATTTGGAGGTTCTCCCTCAAATTTAGCCCCAGAAATAAGAAGACATCTTATTAACAAACAATGCAATCATGATAGTTCATATCTGTAATCCCACCTATGCAGGAGGTGGTATGCATAGCTAGGAGGATTATAGTTCAGGTTGACTCCAGGTAAATCATCATAAGAACCTATCTGAAAAATAATTAAATCCAAATGGTCTCAAGGTATGGCTCAAATGGTAAAGCATTTGCATAGCAAGTTCAAGATCTACAATTTAAATATCAATACTAAATAAAACTTACATTGCAGAATGCAATTATAATTATTCTATTTTATTATTCCTTATTGTTGTGAATCTCTTATCATGCCTAGTTTTCTTATAATGTATTGCCTCAATGATACAGGGAAGATACTGCATTTAAAAATTTTTGTATTTCTAGGGATTGAATCCAGGGCCTTGAATATGCTTAAGCAAGTGCCCTACCAATTGAGCCATACTTCTAATCCTTTTGTTTCTATTTTGCTGTTTTTAGAAAGAAGTCCCTATTATTACCTTAGCTGACTATGAACTTGCTATGCTTCTGCCTCTACTTGTTGAGTAGGTAGGATTACAGGCATGTGCCATCAGACTCACCATTGTACTTGAAAATTATAATAAAGCATTTGGATTTGAATTTTAAAATAAATATATATTAAAATATATTTCATCACTATCAAATGTATACATGAAAATGGGTGAAAAAGTAAAAATAAAAACTTTATTGGTTGTTTTTTGTTGGATTTTTGTTGTTGTTGGTGGTGGTCATGGCTTGAACACAGGGACCTGGAGCGGTCCCTGAGTTTTTTCTCTCAAGGATAGTGCTCTTCCAATTTGAGCCCCAAGTTCACTTCCAGTTTTCTGGTAGTTAATTAGAGATAAGAGTTTCATGGAGTTTCCTGCCCTGTCTGGCTTTGAACCATGATCCTCAGATCTCAGCCTCCTGTGTAGTTAGGATTATAGGCCTGAGCCACTACCAGCACCTTGCTGGTTGGTTGTTTTGGAGTCTGGCCTTGAACTCATGATCATCCTGCCTCACAGTACCAGAGTATCTTTTCAGAACATAGTTTTCATGACACATACATAATTTTGCAATATAATTTTTTCATTAGCCCTCCATTGGGAAAAAATAACATATATGTTGTTGTAGGTAAACAAAGATAGAAGTACTATCTTTGAAGCTGCTTTTCTAGTAAAAGTTATAATGTGACTGTCAAGAGAATATAGGTTTCAAGGGACAAGGAGGGGAGAGCTGCCAACTGGTCTCCTGGAGAATCAAACCTATGCCCCTCACACCAAATTTACAGTATTCCTATCAACTAAGCTCTAAGTTGTCATTTAGTATCTCAAGTGTGTTAAGTGTTATTGCTATTGCTCACAGACACTCCCTTCTTCAAATTCTCCCTGAATAGGATTTGCTCCCAAAGATCTCTCTAAATGAAATGGGAATAGATATTAACTTTTTTAAACACTGATTTTTTTTTCTGGAATTTCTTAAGCTGCAAATTCATGAATTCCTTGGGAAATGATCTGCTCAGGCTGTCACTGACTACTTTTCAGCAGTCAGTGGGTTCCATTTCTTTTTATAAAGCTCATGTTATTTCTGTTGGGAAGGCTTGAGGTCTGAAAAGGGGGTAGGGGGAACTGGATAGCTCAGGGGCCTAAGGAATGTTATCTGATCTCTCTTACCCTTAGGCTTTTTTGAATTTGGCTCCTCTTCATACATTCTGAAAATATGCACTGGCCCTTCAGCAGTCATTGACAAGTGGGCTCTGGAGCCAGACAGCCTGAGTTGAAAGCCCAGGATGCTCCAATTACTACCTGTGAGGCTTTAGGCAAGTTAGTTCATCTCTTTGCCCCACTTCACTGACCTATGTAATGAATAGCCTAGAATTTTAGACAAAATTAAATAAGATGATACAGGCGAAGTACTCAGTCTGCTGTATGTAACAAGCAATAAGTTTTAGTTATTAAAATACTAACAACCAACAATTGAAAAATAACTTCTGCTTTTATGATAACAGAATGGATTGGAAGAGACAAGGATGGAATAAAGACGAAACATATAATATTGAAAGAGAATTTCTGGGTAAAACACAATCTGACTAATTTTGGGGACCTAGACAAATCAGGATTATTTTTGTAGAGCTCAAGGTTGGGAAAGAAACGGAGGGAAAAAAGGAACATGTCCAAAGGGAGTACTGGAATTGCTGCTTTTGGTGTGAAGGGAAAAGTAGTTCTGAAATTAGAAAACAAATGTTATATTTTAAGATTCTGCTCAGAAGTGAGCCTACCCTATTTGCTTTCTGGTCTTGTAGCTCCACCGACCTTCCCCTAGACAAGCATAAAATTTCCCATAGTTCCAGGTTATAAGGTAAAGTTTTCATCCTCTTCTATGCTTCCTTTTTCCTGAAAATAACAACATTTCAAAATGTATAGATTCACTGTCAAGTTCTGGTTAAACACCTACCTTCCCCCTCCCCCTATCCCAGGACAGGGTCCCACCAAGCAATGTGACTAATCCCTATGGAGTCCTGAAGCCACTAGCCTCCCACTAAGCCTTGCAACTAGAGACCCCTATGATCAAGCCGGGATTCTTTTTCCTGGTCTGGACTTGTACCCTTAAACAGACTAAAACAGTTTTCTATAGGATTCATGGGATATTTCCCCACATTCTACGTTCAGCAAACTATATCGTCTTAAAATGGTATATTTGTAAACACTTCTCCCTTTAGCAAAGATTATTTTCACAGGGCATTTAACTATATGTCTTGACTCTGACTTGATTTCTAGAAACAAGATATATATGTGAAACTTTAAATTTCTGTAAGCTAGCTACCCTTCTCTAGTTAGGAAACGCTCCTTTTCAGACTCACATTTGAGAAGATAGGAAAGAGTTTTACTGATCCTCCAGAAATGTTGATATTGTTTAAAAGTGGCAAGATTTCGTGAGATGGAGCCGTGAACATTTGAATTCATGGAAAATGTAGTTTCGGAAATGGTATATATAACACTTAGTTTGACGAGAAAATTCGATCCAGAGCGCCTAAGTTTGTATTTTGGGCGACTTGGTGGCTGATTTTTCTCCGCAGTCCTTAAAAGAGAATTTTCTTTGTGTAACAAGACTAAGTTCCTCGGGCAGACTGTGGCCATTACCGAGCTCACCGAAGGTTAAGGAATGTAAAAAGGTCAAACTCTGGCACTGAAACAGACACGAAATAAACAAAATCCAACGCCATATACGGACAATAATTCCAAAAGCGAAAAAAGGGGGTCAGAAATGATGAACTCGAATTCAGTGGGCAGAATTATTCGTATAAATCTTCTCAGAGGAGGTTTAAAAAAGTAATTAAAAACAACAACAACAAGGAAAACAAATCCCCTAATACGTCGCGACTAGGCGTTTGTTCGGGTGTGCGGTCTCAGTCTGCGAGGTTCAAGCAAAATAAGCAGCTTTGGAACTTTTTGGAAAGTGTTCTTTGTAATGCAAGTGTTTCATACGCGGTTCGTTTTATGCACGGACTCCTTTTTCCTATAAATGTTTCCAGGAGTGCCTTTCCTGAAGGCTAAAATCACATTTGTCCGATTTCAAGCCAGTGTAAGTCCCAGTGCGCTTTGTTGGATAAACGGAGATGGAGGTCTGGGGCGCCCGGGAACGTTTTGCAATGAATGGGAGAATGAATGAAACCCGGCCCGAACGTTGGAAACTGGGAAGCAGGCAATAACTTTTCTCTGCATTTTGCAACCAGAGCATCTGCAAACCTAGGAGTCTTGCCCGCCAGGGTTGCAGCCACTCTCTCAGGGTGCCTTAATATCAAGCACCTGTGAGCAGGTGCGATTCCAATGGAGTACCCAGATCCTAGTACCAACTCAGCCCCTAGGGCTACAAGCTATGCTGTGTGTGTGAAGGGGCGCTCAGGGCGGCTCTGTCCCAGTTGCTCTGCTCAGTCCTCCGCTAGTCTAGGAGCTTCGCAGGCCAACCTGTGGCAGCCCCTGAGCTCCATTCCTCTGCTCCTACAAGGATTGCCTATTTTTGATCTCTAATCCGGTAGTAAGTAGTTTCCTCTCTAGCTTGATGATTGTGCGTGCGTGCATGCGTGTGGTGGTGTGTGCGTGTGTGTGTGTGTGTGTGTGTGTGTGTGTGTGTGTGTGTGCATGCAATAAACGGAGCAAGAAAATGAGAGGGGCATAAAAAGAAAATAAGACAACTAGAAAACTTAGCAAGTGTTTCTTGGGAAAAAACGACGGTGCGGGCTGTTTAGACTGTGGCTGAGCTGTGGGGCCCAGGCTGGGAGCGGCGCGGAGCGGGACCGGTTTTCCGGGGCTGGCAGCTGCCTAGAAAAAGTTTCCTGTGGAACACTGGCCAGCGGGGGCGGGGGCGGGAGCGGGGGCGGGGGCGCTGGGCGCAGCCATGAAGCTCGGGGGAAGGGGGCGAGAGGGCGGGAGAGAGAGGGGAGGGCTGCAAAAGGCCAGTTTGCAAACCGTTAGAGTCCAAGAGCACCTCCCTCGGCCAATTCCCCCCCCCTCAGCTTGCTTCCCTGCTGCGCGGCTGCCCACCTGGCGACGTGACGCTGGACCAATCGCCTTCGAGTTACTCCCTGGCCCCTTCTTGCACCGCCCCCCTCCTCACCCTGAAAGAGGCGCACCCTGCCGGGACAGACGCTGCGCTCTCGCCGCGGAGCACCCTTCTAGCGTCTCCCTCTCCAGGAAAGACGCTGGAACTCTCTCTCTTGCCTTAGCCTAACTTGATTTCCCGCCTCTCCAACTCCAGCTTCTTCACTTCACTCCCAACTTTTTCTCTCCACATTTCCCTCCTCCCCCACGCCACAAACCCTGCTCCCTTTTCCTTTCTCCCTCCCTCTCCCTTTCCTTCAGCTCCCTTCCACTCCACAACCTCCCTCCACTCCCTAACTCCCTAGCGCTCACCGCACTTGGTCGCCTGGTCGCCCGCTCCCGTTTGACTCTCGAAGCCATGGCGGGACCAGGGGGCTGGAGGGACAAGGAGGTCACCGATCTGGGCCACTTGCCGGTAAGTAGACGATGCCTGTCACCCTCTAAGTGCTCTCTTTTTGTGGGTTCTAAACTCCAGGGAAGAGACAGAACTCACAGTACCCGAGCTAGGCCAGGACTTCGACGGGACCACGGGCGGGTCGGCGGGCGCGAAGAATGAACCCAGGAAACGGGCATGCGGAATAGGTTCCTCTGGGAATCCGGGCTACAGCAAAATCCAGGGAAAACCAAAGGGATCTTGTGAGAGGCATTGGAGGTTGGGGCGGAGACGTACAAGGGGACCCCAAACAGTGGGACATTGCCTAATGTAGCAGACTTTGTCTGGAGCTGCTTGCATACCTGTCCTAGAGGAGTCCCAGGAGAAGCCACAAGGGCAAGGTCGCTTGGCTTCTAAAGAGCATTAGCTGTTAACCCACTGCCCGTGTTGTTCTTTTCTCAGAAGAGATGTCTGCTCTTCGCGTGGGGGGGCATTCACTTTTAGACGGTAAAGGTTAAAAAAAAACTAATCAATTCTCAACTCTCTCGCTTTCTAACAGCGGTTTCTAAAACTTTATCCTCATCAGGACAATGTTCTTGATTTAATCATGAGGGAGCAGAAAGAACTCGACGCCACTTGGGAAAGAAGTGAATTTCACACACCCGCTCTAATAAAAAATTGCACACCTTAACTAACTAGATTTAGCCTACTCTCCTCGTTACCCGGTGCGGATTCTCCTTTTGCCTGGTGCTTAACTTTTTTCAACGGTGGTAATCAATGGGTGAGATATTATCACTATCTTTATTAGCAGAATTCTTATTGTAGCAATGCCATTTATTTCATTGGCATCTGGTTTCTAGCTGATATTGGACACCACCCAAATCCATTTTTCAAGTTCCCTTTTTAGATTGGCATTTCACTTGCACCCTCTCTTGAATGCGAAGGCCCCCTGGACTCTACAAAAGGGAAATATGCAGGCACACTGCTGGAATGATCGCCAGGCATCTGTAGTTCAGGGCAGTGGCCAGCCTGCTTTGGGAAAAGCTAAATATTAACCTCGAGGTTATAGGACTATTCAAAATCGCCTTGCCTTAATTTTACCCATATTTGATATTTACAGATTATATTTTTTATAATGACAAACACCTGTCTCCCTCACTTCTACTCATAATTTTACACCAGAGTGGTCTGTGTGAATAGGTGATGAACATGGGTAACATTTGGGCATATGGTTCTTAGCCATTAAAAGAACAAACTTCAATACAAATGAGTCGAATTACAAATACTAATGTTTCTTTTATTAATGCAGCTTCATAAAGTCTGGTAACAGGACTTTGTGTTTTAGTGAAATCTTTTTCCAGGTCGCATGTACTCGAATTCGCTTGCTTCCAATGAGATTTCTAGAATATGGAGGCCTCAATTGGTGGTTTCCTTTCTGAACAGAGTTATTATATTCAAACTAAACTTGCTTCCAAGTAAGAGTGTAAAACCAAAGAATGAAATGTTACCCTCCTAGAACATTATATGAATATAATGGGGGGAAAGGAAGGGGAAGCAACCAGGGCAGATATGTGAAACCACACATGGGCAAACTGAAATAAACTGCTTTCTAAAAATGACTAAACAGGAATGGGAAAGACCTCATAGAAATAATAGGGCAGGGAATTCCAAGCCCAAGAAGAAAAATAAGTAAAAATTTTATTACCACAAAAAAAGTGGTGGGAAATGGCCCAGACTCACTGACTGAGCCATAGCCTGGGTCATAAAAATTTGGTGAGAGCCTATGAGATAATCAAAAAGCCCTCACCATTTACAATGCAGTTCAGTGGGGGGGGGGGGCAAGGAGAGAAAGATAAAACTAGTTTGCAATGTAGAGTGAATCAGAGAAATCAAACCAATGATATTTATCCTTCTTTTACAAATATCATAAAAGTCTCATGAAGTCCTTAGCTTCTGAAAATTCTTAAATTTCTTATATTTAATTCAGGAACCATTTTGTCTTCACTCTGTAAGGAAATCATGCGTAATTCTTACCCCCTGTGTCCAAAAATGCAAATCTTAACCCCCAAAGGGCAAAAGATTAGCATATGCTTTAGAATTTTCTTTAAGTCTAATATTTACAGATGTTGAAAGTCCTGTTTGCTTTTGTCACTGAGGTATAGTTCAGTAATTTGGGATTTCTTTACATTTAACTTACTTCCTGAGCCTTTGAAGAAGTAAAAGTAAATGAGATGAATATACATCTAAGTTGGCTAGAAGTTTGCATTTTGGAGAGATGATATAGCAAATAAAATTGCATAGGAAGTTGTTCCTTACAATAGTTATTCTCAATAGGACAAATGTGAAGGTCAGAATATTGGCATCTGTCACTACTAACTGTAACAAGTTGACAGCAGCCAGATAATGAGTGGAGATCCAAACTTTGAGCTGTCAAACTGATTAAAAAGCATTTTATAGTGCTAAGGTTATTGCTCAGTGGTGGTAGGGCACTTCCCTAGCATATGCAAGCTCCTGGGTTTGATTCCCAGCTCTGGAAGGGACTGGGGGACCTTGTGGTGTATGGAGGTATAATTAAATATGGATCTAATTTAACATTGATGCATTGTGTTCTCTTCACTAGCCAGTTAAATGAGTGTAAGACTAAAAAAATAAGTAAAAGTCTTTATAGAAAGTAAGTTCACTATGCTAATTAGAGTTTAGAAAAAGCAGTGGTGGGTTGAAACAGGAGGAACATAAGTTCAAGGCCAAACTGGCTACATAATAAATTCCAGGCCAGTGTAGATATAGCAAAACCCTATCTCATAAAAGTGGTGGAAAATTGTGATATTTTAAAATTACATAGATAATACAATAAATATCAAGCAAGAATGAAAGCTGAAGAAGCAAAAAAGGTGGAAAATTTTATCATTTAACAATTTAAATTTTATTTTTGAATAATTATAAAACATTGCTTAATGCTCTAAAATTAGAGGCACAAAAGAACAGAGCCAACATAATTATTAACAAACTGGGTAAATTCCAGCAAGCTAACTAATAGGTTGCTAAAATTTTTCCTGATTTTCAGCTGAATAAATATTTCATATAGGTGAAAAACAAAAAAAATGTTGAGATTCATGGTTTCTGCTTCCTTTTTGACAACAGAATTGCAAATTTTTATGCTTTTATATATCTCTTTAATTGTAAGTGTGTATATTGTATGTGTATATTTTTCACCCTATCTATCAGCCATATCTAGGAGGTATCTGTGATCATACACATATACACATTTAAATGTGTCCATATATAAATACATAAATACACTATATTTACATATATAATTTATATATCACATATAATTTATATAGTTTATATATGTTAGATATATAATTTCTAAATATATATTATACATATATAACATACAAAATATCTAAATATATTATACATATATAAGATGTAAAATATTCTGAATGTATATTATACATATATGTATATATAAAATATATACATATCATTATATAATTGTATATAAGTCCCTCATGCAAGCCTGTGTCACACAATTTCTGAGACTGGAAACTATTTCTTTCCTCTCTAAATCTGGTATTTTTTCACTATGATTGTTCCTTTTGCCTTGTGAGTCCAATATGACAGTGACATTCCTCACGACTGTGGCCATGATATTTGACACCTCCATGTATAGTTTTAATCTATATTGGGGTCAGGATTAGACAGGCTTTGAGGACAGTAGTGGCAGAGGTGGTCTGAAATAGTACATGATCCCAAAAACTATATTTGAATTACATTAGGTTTGTATTTAAATTTAACTGCCAGCTTTCCTAATCTTCCACAACTAGAATGAAATCAGATTTCCGCATTCAGACACGGGAAACTTCCCACTTTACCAAGTTTTTAGCTTGTTTAAAAGCAGTTTTTACCTTCAAGTCCACCAAGACAGTAATACTCACCATGTCTTCCATTATAAGAAGAATATCTCCTCAGGTTGACATTGTACTTCAATCTGTTGTTTTAAAATTATTTTCCCCCAGTTTTTAAGAGTAGTGTTTTTCATGTTAGTGCAGGAAGAAAAGAGTACACGAGAATCAAGAATCATCTGGAGATCTTAGGGATTTATCTCAGGAAATTTTGATTTCACAATTTTATGTGAGGCCCAAGAAATCTGGAGATTTTTAATTTTTTATTGTTTGTTTGCTTAAAAAAAACAGGATTTCCCAGATCATTCTCATGTATGGAGAAAGGAATTTTCTAAACTTCTTATTTTTAAGCCCATTTCTGCTCTGGATCTCATTCTAGCTTTTCTACTACCATTTCTACCATTCTGAGTGTCTTTCTCCATAAATTCTTTTATTCTAATATTAAAAAATAAGAGAAAAGCCTCTGCAAAATCCTCTTCGAGGTACTGTGCTATGTAATCTTTCCTTCATTTTGCTGTCTGACTCTCACCCTTTTGTTCCCTCATTCTTAACATCCTAAATTTGAAGTTTATTACTGGTTAAGTATTTATTAATTCCTTTTTCTCCTCAACATCTGCCATATTTGCTTTTGTGGATCAGACAGTTTTTGAAGATCTTTCACTTGACCAGTAAACACTGCCTTCTAGTGGTTCTTTTTCTTCCTGTTACCCCCACCCTTACTAAAATTAGTCATCCAGGTGCTCATTCTTTCCCTCTCCTCCTGAATTCAGAAGACAGAAATAGTTCTGGATTCTGAGACTAGGGCTTTAAAATTGCAGGAGACAATTTAGATGCATAAGAAGTTAGGACAAATGAAGAAATATTTTCTTAGCAGTTCTTGGTTCCATAATATTTTATCACTAACTTTTTTATTAATTTTTTGAAAATCTTTCAAAATCGGAGTTTCTTATTTACCAACTATTTTGTTTACCCAAATGTGATACCAAAATGTAATAAGTCCTAAATAATGTCCACATTTTTAGAACAGTTAGAGAAACCCTTTCTCCCTTTTTGTTTCCTGATCTCAGGTGAGCAAGGCATTAGAGAAGACAGAGATATATGGAGATACCTCTGATTTGAACCTTTAGTTTCATGGTAACCAAAGAGTCCTTTTCAATGCTTCCTCCCTTGGGAACTCAGAATAAACTTGCTCTGAATAAAAATGAAAAATGTAAGAAATCAGATGTCATTAACTTATTAATTAGCACAACCCCTTCCTATTGTCTCTATTTGATAATAATTTAATCATGAAATATAGTAACATGGAATGAGAAATTAAAAATAGCACAGAAAATGAAAACAATCAGTATATGGATACTAAGGTGAGTTGCATTTACAAAGAGGAAGTATTTTCTAAGAACATGTGTCTGTTAAATGTGAGCATGACAATAATTAAGATGGCTGATTATTTGAAATAAGATAATTTGATTATTATTGAAGCTAATTTTCTTAACAATAAGAATGCATATCAATTATGACATCTATAATTTTCACAGGCACTTCATTATCCCAATATTGGGTGCCTAAGTTCTAATCTCAGTGAAGGATTAAAAAGCAAGATTAAAGACATTTAAGACTGTGCGGAGAAATAAAGCTTGTATAACACTACAGTAAATTCCTAACGTGTCTTTTTCACCTGAATGCAGTGCAAACTATACTTTCCAATAGGAATCAGCTAACATATTTGATTGTTTTCAATGTAACTGGAGGCTGTTTCTCTTTAATTACTACTGTATAAAATAAATCTACCAGTGTTATTCTTCAAAGAAATGTGCTAAAATTATGAGGTCTTTAGGGTAGACCTTCGTTGCTCCTTTATTGACTGACATTTTCACAAGTCATTCAATGAGTTATATAAAAAATGATATGCATAATAGCAAGGGCACTCAACCTACTTTAATTCCTTAGATTTTAAAACTGTCATTTTAAATAACTTTTACATTTTAATTGGAAGTGTATTTCTTGACCTATTTGCTTATAATTATACCTTTATCTATTGTGACATTAACTTTCTAGAGCATTTTAAGAAAGCAAGTTGCTGGGTGGCTGGCTGCTTTAGTGATAGTTCTATTGGCCTAGTGGGAACACTTGACTTTTAGACTGGTAGAATCTGATATTTTCCTACAGAATTTTGGAGCTCGCAAATCACCAACACAATCGCTTCATTTCATACAAGTGAAATATGAATTCCAGAGAAAGTTATAACTTAGCTAGAGTCATATAGTTAATTAATGGCAGAGCTGGAGGTAACACTCAAGTCTCCTGACTTTCCACCCAGTTAACACTTGTTGACTGAAGTAATTCCTGATGTGTCATTTTCCTATGACAGATTTGCTAGATTAAACCAACTATCATGCTATTTTAAAAGAATGTACAGTTTTACCCATACATGTTACAAATATTTAATATTTTTTCTGTTTAGCTTGCAGTTGTCACAGTGATAAAAATGCTTCTTGACATTAAGCATTTGTGTTCTATAAATAATGTGAATTGCCAACTATTTGCCACTGTTTGTGCCATCTGTTATACTCATGCCTCATATAAGTGTTGCTAAAATTATAAAAATTCATTATGAAATAATAAAGAAAAGTGTCTGAGGTCAAACAGTGATACAATTCAAGAAATGATATTTTGTGAAAAACAGAAAAATAATTTCTCTATATAAAGGTAAGGAAATAATGCTTGGGGATGAATATGGAAGCCTTAGGATTCCATAAATATATGTGTTTATTAAGATGTCATTTATACTTAAGTGTCAAGAAAGATCAACTCATGCCATGCAAAGGGCAATGCAAAGATTATGTTTAATTGAAGATAAATGTTTAAGAAATAAACGAGAATCTCATTTATATTTATGCTTTATATGTGCATGCTTTATGTGTACTACAGTGAAGTCTTCATATGTACATATGAAGTATATATAAAATATGTACATATAAATTATATATACATATATGCACATCTGAAAAGAACATAATTACCCAGACATAGGTAGGTCACAGCTGTAATCCTAACTACTCAGCAGGCTTCAATCTGAGGATCCCATTTCAAAGCTAGCCTAAGCAGGAAAGTCCATGAGACTCTTATTTCCAATAAATTACTAAAAATACCAGAAGTGGAGGTATGACTCAAAAGTGGTAGAGTGTAGTCTTGATCAATAGAAGCTCAGGGACAGCACCAAGACCCTGTGGTCAAGCCCCAGGACCAGCACAATAAAAAGAAAAAGAAAAAGGAAAAGGACATAATGAAATCATATTAAAATATGTAATAACATTTTAGAAAATAGGAGTTGGGATGATTAAAAAAGAGTAATAAAGAAGGTAGATATGATCAAAGTACATTTTATACATACATGGAAATATTACAATCAGTATCTTCACTGTGAGTAATCAATGTACATTAATCACAAAAGTAATGAAAGCCTTTGGAAAAAAGACTCCAGTTCTGAAAACAATAAGTCCAACACTATCTTACTTTTTAATGATGTTTTTCATGCCATTATCTGTGCTTTGTGATTCATATATAGAGTCAACATCTCTTTAAGAGTTTCTGTAATATAAACAAGGTATCTAGATTTTAGATGCAATATCTAGTCCTCATTGTTGAATGTTGAACTTCCTGCCTGTCTGGTTATCACTGGAAAATGAATATTAAAAAATACTTCAATAGAAAGTAAGTGAATTTATTTCTATTTTAATTATCTTTTAAATTGCATGAGTTTGTGTAATCATATGTGTTTTATAGTATTGAGATCATTGAATACACAATATTTAATGCCCATTCCACCATTTCTGGTGATTGTAACACTTCAATTCTTTTCAGAAATGACATGTACTTTCTAAGGCAAACTGGTATTTTCTCAAGTAAGATAATAGCTTTTATTCTACTTTTGCAGGATCCAACTGGAATATTCTCACTAGACAAAACCATTGGCCTTGGTACTTACGGAAGAATCTATTTGGTAAGTGATTTAGAAGATTTCTTCATTCTTCATTTTCTAGTAACAATAATTGTAAGTCAGAAATCCCATACTGCAAATCAAAAAATGTCAAAACGTGGCTTTTCACTTTGAGATACTAAATAAATTGAAATAGCTCATTGACATCTGTAAAAATTATTGTTGATTATTGCGAAAGGAATGGGTTGCCAAAACTACAGTGAACCAAACCAGTCCATATAAGATCTAAAAATTATTAGTGAAAAACTAATAAAGGGACATAGTGAATGCAATTAATGAATGAAAAGAAACTACTCCAAGTAAGATGTACTCAAATAAAAATGTAACTTGTTTAATATATATAATATACTATATAATATATACTATATAGAATATCAGTATATACTATAAATTATGTCCAAACGATTCTAATTGTCCATGTTCAACATACACTGAATGCTATAAAAAGGAAAAGTTTCTGAATGTTCTATATCTTACTCTGTATATGAATATATAATGGTTTGTTGAAGAATCTAACAAAAGATCAATGTCTCTATGTACTGATTATATATTAAGCACTAATGGTATGTCAGGCACTGGAAATAAAGTGATGAATAAAACACACAAGGTTCCAGCTCTTCCAAGGTTAGAGTCTAGAAATATATAAGCATTTAAGTATGCATTACATAAAAACACATGTAGTTACATTATTTCAGTTATATTATCCTTACCAACACTCGATAATAAAAAAAAAACACAGAATAGGGAGAGCTTTATTTAGATTGTAAGGTTGATGTTAATTTCCTGCTCTGTGGAAAGTAACAGTTAAACTGATACCCTGAAGATAAGTATGAAATAAGCAATGGTATGATAGGAGAAAATGTTAATATACTTTAGACAGAGGTCAGGGCTGGTATGGGATAAAGGTGCTTCAGTAGACTTATCACCCTTCACAAGCAATCTGACATTTTCTCAATCTGATATAGTATAAGGTTCTATACAAGTGTAGTGTTCCTCATTCCCCAGTCTGTTCTGTAAAACTAAGTTTACTGTCCCTAGTCTGACCTTACTGTCCATCAATCACAATATATATACCTATGCATATACATATATATGTGTGCATTTTGTGTTATATATAATACATACCATATATGTTACATGTTTTATATATACATATATGTTTTGTAAAATATAAAAACGTGCATAAAATCCACAAGGATATTTCTGCTTGCCAAGAATGGCACCTTTGAGGCTACAGCTTCCAAGAAAGGGCTGTTTTCCTAATTTATCTACCCAGATTGGAGTGATGAGGCACTTTTTAAAACATTGAATATAAGGGCCTATAACATAGAATTTAACAGTACAAATAGTGTGGAGATAGTTTGTATTAGCAGAAAGGTTTTCACAAAGAATATGAATATTAATGAGGAAAGTTTGTCAAACCATTTTGGCCTTACCTATTAATAGAATTAAGAAGCTATAAATAGTGATATTTGTCAAATATGTTTTTACAGTATCTCAGGTACATTCCATACTGTTTAGTTAACATTGGTCAACTTTGCTAACTTGTTATTGATAACTACATCTTATGCATAGTCTTAGAATAAAGTTTCACTTCTTTAAGACAGATAAATTTATAATCTCAATTCTCTATACATAGTTTAATTCCTGATGTGTGTATGTATCTGTGTGTATTTATTGTGAGTTGAAGGTATAAAACTTTCACCATCATTAATTCTGGAAATAACCTCAGAAATAAGGTAAGATGCCAAAATAAGATTAGACAATGAAAGAAAGTGATTTCTCACCATCATTAATCAGTACTTTTGATGCCATAAAAAGAAGAAAATCAGGAGGAAAAAAAGGTAAGTTATGCATGAAACGTTCCTTTTTTAAAATTCAGGGTTTTATTTTAAATTTTAAATTTTATGAATTTTAACAAATACATAAAGTCATATAACTGCTATCAAATGAAGATTTTTCCAGAAATATCATAAATTAATGTCAGTTTACCTTCAAAGAACATTCTTCCACTACCATATGTGACATTCCAGCTGGTATGTTTTGGTTCTGATTTGCTTCAGTGTCACTGAATTTTCCTATATTTTCTACAGTTCTTCTTTTCCCTGTTCTCACTTACTATGTTTAAAGAAAGGTTGGACAAATAGGATTGCATGAAGCTGCAGAGCTTCTGCATGGCAAAGGACATAGCTAGCAAGATCAATAGAAAGCCCACGGGTTGGGAGAAGATCTTCACTAGCCATACAATGGATAAGGGTCTTATGTCTAAAATATACTTGGAACTCAAAAAATTAAAACCTCCAACAACAAATCCTCAAAGAAACAACAGCCTGATAAGTAAGTGGGCTAAAGACTTAAAGTAAAACTTCTCTGAAGAGGAAATAAGAATGACCAATAGACATATGAAAAAGTGCTCAACCTCTCTAGCCATAAAAGAAATGCAAATCAAAACAACATTGAGATTCCACCTCACCCCAGTTAGAATGGCAATAACCAAGACCTCTAATAACAACAGATGCTGGAGGGGATGTGGCCAGGAGGGAACCCTACTGCATTGTTGGTGGGAGTGTAAACTTATTTACTTACTCTTTTAGAAAAATTTAAAGTTAGTCTTCAACAATTTCTTGAATTTTCTTTTCTTTACGTAGATACAACTTTCTGTAATAAAGAACTTAAGCTTGAAGAACTTTTTTTAATATTCCCATAGTCCAAAGTTTCTAGTAATGGGTTATCTGGCTTTGTGTTAAAAGCCAATATTTCACCCTCATTCTTGCACAATATTTGCACTGCGTGTAGATCTTGGTTGACAATTATTTTTTCTTTCAGCACTATAAAGATTATACTTCATTATCCTCTGACATGGTTTCTGAAATCTATATTTTTGTATTTTTAATCTAGTAGCCTTTACATTTTTTTCTTTGTTTTTTAGAACTTTAAATATGAAATATAGATGATTTCTTATTCTGATTGTATGTTTTCATGGAGCATTTATCTCACATTAGGATATAAGATCTTTGGGTTTCTATGATGCTTTTTGATACTGAGTTGATACATTTCACCAGCTTTTGGTATTCTTCACCTTTTATCTTTTCTGATATTTATTCTGCCATATTCTATTTCTTCTCCTTTTGTAAACTCAATTCCATATGTGTAAGAAAATTTGATATTATCTCTCAAGTCTTAGATGCTCTGGAGTGTGTGTGGGGGTATGGGGGTGAGTATATACACGTGTGTGTCCTTCATTTTTACTGTGTTTTAGTATGGAACATATTTTCCCATCCTCATCTTCACTGTCTCCTCTGTCATCTGTTTCAAGACTAATAAAAATTAACGGGACTTCCAAAGACATTACAGAATTTCCACTTGACTTTTTTTTTTTGTCCGTCATGAGGCCTGAACTCTGGGCTTGCATGCTGTCCCTCAGCTTTTCAGCTCAAAGCTAGCGCTCTACCACTTGAACCACAGAGCCACTTCCAGCTTGTTCTGCTAATGTGGTGCTGAGGAATAGAGCCCAGAGCCTCATGAATGCTAGACAATCACTCTACCACTGAGCCACCTTCTTAGCAGTTCAATGGGCTTGTTAAAATACTTAACAATTTTACTGAAATTTCATTTGTTCATGTATGTTTCCCATATTTTTCACTAAAGCCTACCATGTATCATTCCTAGTTCTGCTAAACCCTCTGTCTTATAATTGCAAGAGCTAATTCATGTGTGAAGCAGATTATGTTGATTGTTTTGTCGCTTGAAAATTGGCTATATTGTTTTTATATGCAACATGGAATTTCTATTTGAATGCTAGACATATTATATAGAATAGTAAAGATTGAGATAATTAATATTTGTGCCTTGAAATAATAACATTCGTTCTCTGAGTTGATAATATGGAGGAGAGAAAGAAGAGAGAAGGGAGAGAGGCAGAGAGAGAGAGAGGGAAAGAGAGGAGAGACTTTTTATCTGTTGTTTCTAGAGATTCTGTACTTTTATGTTACATCACAGAAGGCCTTTAGAAATTTATTTTTAAAGTTATTGATTTTCTTTTGGTGGCAGTCCTGGAACTTGAACCCAGGGCCTGAGTGCTGTCCCTGAGCTTCTTTGCTCAAGGCTAGTGCCAGACTACTTGAACCACAGCTCCACTTCTAATTTTTTGGTGCTTAATTGGAGGAGTAACATGGGGTTTCTTGATGGGGCTGCTTTGAACTGCAGTCCTCTGATCTCAGCCTCCTGAGTAGCTAGGATTACAGATGTGAGCCACCAGCACCCAGTTAAAGTCATTGAATTTTTTATATCCAATTTTATGATTACTTGTCTTCTCCTTGCAGCTATAGTGATCTACTTTTCATGTCCCATCTACCTTTGTAGGTGCTTGACTTCTTTTTAGCTTATTGGTCATTGTCTAGACTCAAAAGTTGTGGTTATTTGTGTATTAATTTTTTCCTGTTAGGGTGGCAGAAGTACTCTTTTCACAATTCCCATCCTCACCAGAAGTAAGAACTTGATCCAAATTCTTTTTAATTGAGTATTCAAGAGCTATCTACTATATGCAAGAGTCTGTACATATCTATAATTACTCAGAATTTTATGTGACACCTATTCAGATTCAAAGGAAAATGCAGATTTTTCAAAAGTAGATTCCTGTATTAGAGAGAACAGATGCTTGGAGCTTTATTTACACCATAAAGATTTCTCTTCAGCACTCATTGACTTGACCCCCTTTTTATTGTACCTCAAATTAATTTCCTTCTGTTAAAGGGCTGGGGATAATGATGCTGTACATTGACTCCACTATCAGAGAACATTCAAGAATATATAATAAACATTTGAAAAATGTTCATCTTCTTTACACCAATACTTCCACTTTGGAAATCAATGAAATACATTTTAAACATTGGAAAAACGTACAGAGATATACATTGCATAAGAAGCATAACATACTGTGACGGAGAATGACTGCTTTGAATCAGGCAGATTTAATTCAGTCCTTACTTGGCCATTAATGAGCA